GCCTGCATATACGCTCTTCTTATCTGCCCCTCACGAGTCCCCCTCCCGCCGGGCGTATAAACCGGCCGGCCGGTAATCACGAGTTCTACTGTGCTTGTACTACTGTCCGCCGGCTATATTCCTACTGGTTCTTTTGCAGCGCCACCTCTTTTCAGCGATCCCGCGTTGGCCGCTGTCTCTGCCTGGAGTACCTTCTTGTTTCTTCGCTCTTGAGCGCCATAGTTGCGATATTGCACACTGTCTGTTTCAGCTGACCTGGCAGAAGTCGTCATCCATTACTGTTCCTATCTTCCTACTATGTATAAGTTAACACCAATGGCAGAGAGACGTACTACGACGTCTATTAAGTAGTAGTAGGTACCTACTAGGTACTAGGAATACTACCGTACTTAGTAATACGATTAGCACCATCCAGGCAAGACGGCATACAGCGGGGCTGAGCAATAGCTCCCCGACGCTATCAATACTCACAAAAGCCCAAGGGCCACTTGTGGGGCCTCCCCCATGTTGGTGGCGTTCAGCTGGGTAATCTAATATTACAAACCTACGCGCTGGGAAGCTGCTCGTAACGCGACTTGACGGAGACGCAATTCAACGGTGCATGCGGGATTAATCACGATTGTCAACGGCAAAAGTATACGAAATCCATCTTAATTACAGTGCAACATATAGGTAGATCCTATCTACTGGGCACTCTGCCTCATATCCAAAGTACATCCCAACCCAATCCAAGTAAAATTAGCAAAGCCATCGTCCCACAACACCCTCACTTTCCAAGCCCATGGGGTATTTTTCACATTATTCAGACTAGAAAGCGAGCCTGGAATATCCACAGGATGGATAGAACAGCCGTCCTGTCAGAGACAAGAGATGGCGTCCTTACAAGCGGGAGCCGTGGATGACCTTCATCTCAACAGCGAGCTCACGGCCGCCATCGTTGAGAACGAGGACACGGACGCTGCCGCGGCCAGACTCGAAAGCCTGCTGGAGACGAGACCACAGGTTGGACTGGTCAATGACGCCCAGGCCCTGCTTGACATCACCGGTCTCGGTCATGGCAGTGACGTAGCCGTCAGCCATGTCGAGGACACGGTACTGCTTGAAGACGGGGCCGAGCATGGTCTGGACAACAACGCTGGGGGCGGGGTTGGCAATGAAGGAAGACTCCTCGTGCAGCTGCTTGGTGAAGAGGTCAACACCGAGGTAGCGGTACTGGCCGGTGGCAGACGAGGTCGAGATGCGGATGACCTGGCAAGGTCGGCCCTGGAGCATCAAGAAGTCACCCAGACGGATGTGGTGGCAGGGGATAGAGACAGTGTTGGGCTGCTGCTCGGCGGCAGGGGCGGCTGAACGGCGAGAGGTATTAGCATCTTGGTGGATATCAATAATATCAATTTGTTCTGTGATGGTAGTGTTATTATTGTTTTTGTGGTGATGGTGGTGGTGGTGATGGTGATGGGGGAGTAGCTTGTCTACAGCCTTGGCTACGCCTTGGCGGATAGAGTGGTAGGAGCCTACCGGCGACACGCGTTAGCGTACGCTTGCACGCGTCTGGCAGACAATAATAGAAAGTTAGTGAGCTTACCCTCATCATCGTAGTAACCCATCTTGGCTGGTTTTTCGGCGGGAGAAGACTCGCGAATTTCCTCGGTGATCTTGATTTCCTCACGGAAGTTGGGACGAGAAACAGTGGTACGTTCTTCAACGGTGAACTCGGTACCCTTCGATTTCTCGGAGTGGTGGTGGTGGTGGTGTCGAGGACGACGAACTTGAACTAGTTCAAGGCCGGTAGAGCTCTGGGGTTGAGGTTGAGGACGGAAACGTTCTCGGTATTCACGCTCAGCAGCGTCAACGGGGTTTGAGTAGCGGCGAGAAGAGTCAACCTTGACTTGAGTCTCAGTGTAGTCGCGAGGAGGAGGTGGAATAGATCTAAAAGTACTCGAGTTAGTTGGAGGGATTCCCTTTTGTGCTTGAGCTTGCTTGGCCTTGGTCTCTGGGCCAACACTTGTGGGCCTGGACTAGACCCCCTGAGCCGGGATAAAATAGCATGGCTGGGAACCCTAGCTGAACCTCGCCCCCGGCTGTCAGCTCCCCCATAGTGAGCTCCGCCGCCCTCCGTGCTCAATTCGCATCTCCACACCCAATTGACGCGTTCTAGAAGCCGCGGCAAAAGAGATTGTAAGAATACGAAGAGCAATTTCAGCGCTGCCTGTGGCAGGCGGGTTCCTCTTCCCACGGCTATTTCTCCTGTCCCCCTTCCCTCGCTCCCTCCAATGGCTCACACAAAATGAGGCCAGGAGAGACAGAAAGCGAAGGGAGTGAAAACAGATAAGAAAAAGGTTGCAACTTACTTGAACTCTTCCTTTACGAAGCGTTCAGAGTGACGTGAACCGGGACGGCGGTGGCGTTCTTCCTCGCGCGTAATACGGATCTCTTCTTCGACGCGGTGTTCACCACGATGAGGAACTAGATCGGCACTTGGGGGGAGAGAAGAGAATTGACCCTCCCGTCCGGCTGGCTTTTGTTGAGGGAGGGTGATTTGAACCTCCTCGAGAGTTGTAGTCTGGGTTTGAGGGCGGCCTGCTTCGTTGTCCTTGTAAGTGGACGGGAAGATGCTAAAAGGCACGGGGACTCGAGCTTCAAAATCCAGGTTGGCGGCTTGCGCTGGCGCGAGAGAATCTTCTCATACAACCTTCCGTAGTATCACGAAAGGAAGATAAGAAGGATCTCAAGCTTCTGTTCCTGGAAACAAAAGTCGAAGAGGGAAGAAAAGAGAGAGGGATATGATACCTCTGAGAGTCTTTTCTTTCAATTGTCCTTGCTTCTTTGTTGGAGATTCAGATAATTGGAGGAAAGGAATGGCGGATCAGAACCAACGTCGCTCGATGGGCTTTTTGAGGTCGGGGGCCAGGCCTGCGATTGTGGGCGTGCTCATTGTGTTGCGTTGCCAAGGAGGGTAAGCCTATCGGCCCTCCATGTTTACCTGCCACCAAGTCTGGGCATGTTATTGTTTATTCTCATCACAAGAGGATTAGTCCTGTCGTATCCTGGCCTCTCGTCTCCGCCATCAACTCCACATTCAGCCAACCTCATCCAACTCCCCTGCAAGCCCAGCGAGCTCAGCAGGCATCTCGTCCACTGGCCTCTCGAGGCTGCGTCTCAGGCGTACTAGAGTCTCCAGTCGCCAGTGGACTCCTCGGACATGATGCTGCAACCCAGCGGTAAGCGTGATGGAGCCCCCAAAGGCAACCCAGAGCTCCCCAGCCACCTTGCTTTCCTTGACTTCCCTTGCGTCCCCCCTGAATCGGCCGCTGATTGACCAGTCAGGCTCGGCGATTGATGTTCATGGCTACTGTGCCACTAGTGGTAACAATATACCGGTAATGTAATCTGGTAGCAGCAGTAGTGGTACCCCGTAGGAGTGGTAGCTCCTCCATAGCGCGTGGTCAGCTACAAGGACGGCCCATTTTTAAGCGTGAGTGTGTGCCTCTGCTCTGTTTATTTTCGGGCCAGCCTTTGGCGCGACTGGTTCCTGGCCTAAAGGGCCTTCCTGTTTTCCCAATAGCCCCAGATCCAGCCTCATCGGCTTACTCGTACCGAGCAGCACGCAAGCGAGAGAGAGAGAGAGAGAGAGAAGCTGGGAGCAGCGGTACTCGTAGTAGTGCTCCTAGCTGGCCCTGTGCCTGTTGAGTACGTAGCAAGCAACCCGTACCCGGCAGTAACTTGAGCCGTACTGGGACCACTGCTCATACATACGTCGTACAGCACTGTACTCTGTAACTCACTGACATGGCGCCACCGGAAAAGCTTTTTGGCTTACCATGGAGGGCAGGCTGCGTCCAAGCTGATGCTGCATCTCGCCCATCGCCTATTCCTGCGACGCCCACGCCGGCTGTATGAGGACTACCAAGCGCCCACTTTTGTGATGCACATGCCGTCTTAGCTGCAGCAGTGCAATGAAAACAGAGATGGCTGGGGCTCAGTCTTCGCGCTCTGGGCTATTGCTCGCCGGACAAGGCGATCGTCACTCTCGGAGAGCTGCGTGGACTGGGCTGCCATTGGCCAGCTTGGGCGTGCCGCCCGCCTGAGACTACTTTGTATGGTTCGCTGCACGTAAAGGCGCTCCCTCCCTGCCGCCCGTATTGATATCGTGTAATGCCGCCATTGGGCTGGAGCTGTTTCGGTGCTAATGCAGCAGGATAATTGCAGTATGGTAGCGGCGTGGTGCGAGCGCTGCAATCGACGCTGTGCATGTACTATGTAGCACCCGAAATTTCGTGGCTGGGTGCTGGGAAGAAGCCAGACCTCGTCGGATCGCTCCAACGAGAGGGGCCATTGCTGCTAGCACCAAGGTCAGATAGAGATGGCTGGTCGCCAGCCGTCCAGTCGCGGGCCAGGCCACGGTCCGCTTTTGGGGCAGCTCATTTCCCTCTCAGTTGGCCATGACGCTTGCTGTGGGCTTTGCGGCGGCGCCCGGCACCCAATCCATGGCAGATCTGTGTCTTTAAGCTCCCTCTGTCAGGCCGTCCCTGGCTTGCCCGTACATGTGTCCTGAACATCAGCATGGATCGGGGGGACATTGGCGTCTCGTGCATGCTCAAAATGCTGGGGACCTTGATTGCCTCCCGCCTCATCTCCACCTCAATTATCTCGGTTGCTGGGACGATTCAGCATCGCCATCGCAAATGTGTTCTCTTGGAGGGGGGGGACAAGGATATGCCGCTTGTGTTTCAATATTAGACATCCAACAAGGTGGCAGGGAAGAGGTCCGTGCTGCCTGCTACGACGCGTCGAATCGCGATGATTTGGGGGGTGGACCGAGGATGAAGCTGAATTGCGCGTTCGATTGGATTGATGAGATTGGACGCGGCGGGTCCAATCGCAGCCGCATGTGCCTCGGTCGAATGGCTTCAGCTGCTGATTTCCCCAGAGGTTTGTCCGAAAAGTGAAGCCTTGTTGATCGCATTGGAGCACTCGTCATCTCAACTTAAAAGATTAGCGGCCGCGTGGCCTAATGGCTAAGGCGCTAGATTTCGGTTCTTCAGCAACTTTCCCTCTAGAGATTCCAGGTTCGACTCCTGGCGTGGTCGTTTTTTTGCCCTTTTTGTCAACCATTTTGACTGGCAATTGTCATTGTTGATGGCAATGGCCGTCAATTGGGCCTTCTCGACGGTAAGATGAGTTGTGAGTGCTGTAGGGAGACGACGACAGCTGGCACAAGGGATCCTTTGCTACAAGTAATAACCCTAGGCGCCCGCCCTTCTTTGACTGTTATGTCCGCATTAGGTAATTTGCAGCGTCCGTCCCTCGTATCAGAGCGATGAGCGTCTCACCTTTTTGCAGGCTAATTTCTCTACTGCAGGTTTCACTAGTAAATACGACAGCTTGGTCGTCAGCCATGATTCGCACCGACTTCTGCAACTGGCAGGGCAATCAATTAGTGCTTGCTTCCTACCCTGCTGTCAGGTTTCGTCCAGCATTACTTTTGCACATACTGCATAGGCGCTGCTGCGCGCAATTGACAACGTACCTCCCCAGCCAGAGGAGCAGTCCACCACATACAAAGTACCTAACCTGTACTAATATGGTACTTGGACTGCCACCTACGGCAGTTGTCAAAGTTCTCAACACTCACCTAGTAGTCTAGATGCCATGTACGATATTAATTGGGCCCCTCCTTTTAAACTGGAATCGCGAATCTTGCTATTGCCTCAGAATCCCAGTGACAGCGACCAGGATGCTGAGCACCCTTATTTCCAATATATTAGTAGTAGTAGTACCAGGCTCTAGTACATGGCTTGGCTCGATGGTTACCTTATGTAGTATGCGAAGCCACGTGACGCCATGGCGTCACAGCTTGAGAGCTTGCCCCACGGTAGGCTATTGAGCCTCACACCAAGCTTGATATATACAGTTCGGAGCCTGTGCAAAACGCAAATGCCAGTATGAAGCAGAGATTTTCGTCATTGGATGTCAAGGTATGCAATTTTTCTCCTCAGGTGGATTTATGTCTTGGGCGACCTGCTGACTGCCCTTCCCCTGCTCTAGGTCATAGCGCACGAGCTCCAGGCGAGCTTGGTGACTCTGCGACTCGCAAACGTCTACGACCTATCCTCCAAGATCCTGCTCCTGAAATTTGCCAAGCCAGATAACAAGCAGCAACTGCTAATAGAGAATGGATTTCGCTGCCACTTGACCGACTTTGCCCGAACGACTGCCGCCGCTCCATCTGCCTTTGTAGCTCGGCTTCGCAAATATCTCAAGACCAGACGACTGACGGCAGTTACACAAGTGGGGACTGACAGAATCCTCGAATTTCAGTTTAGCGATGGCCAATATCGAATGTTCTTGGAATTCTTTGCGGTATGTCAGCTATTAGAAAACAGAGGCATCTTCTCAACCGTATTGTTCCAAGTGGCCAGAGGCTAACATTGGGTAGAGCGGAAACATCATTCTTACTGATGCGGATCTTAAGATCCTAGCCATTTCTCGTAATGTTGGCGAGGGAGAGGGGCAAGAGGCGCAGCAAGTTGGGCTGCAGTATTCTCTGGAGAATAGACAAAACTATGGCGGCATTCCCCCGTTGACAAAAGAAAGGATAAGGGATGCTCTCAAATCTGCTGCGGAGAAGGCTGAAGCAAACGCGGGGGCCGGTACTTTTTCTGGAAACAAAGCGAAAGGTAAATCTGGTGGCGACTTGCGAAAGGCCTTGGCAGTATCCATAACAGAGCTGCCCCCTACTCTGGTCGAGAATATCCTACAAGCGAATAGCTTTGATATCACCGCTAAACTAGCTGATGTGCTTGATAATGAGTCATTGCTGGATGCATTGGTCAAACATTTATCTGAGGCTCGTGATATTGTTGAGAACATTACCGCATCTGCCACCTGCACGGGTTATATCTTCGCCAAGAAAAAAACCACATCTTCCAGCGATTCAGTCGAAGCAAATGAGTCTCAAAAGCGCGAAGGGCTGCTTTACGATGACTTCCATCCGTTTATCCCGCACAAGTTCAAGAAGGATTCGTCATTTGAGATATTAGAATTCGAAGGCTATAACAGAACAGTCGACGAATTTTTCTCATCCTTAGAAGGCCAAAAGTTGGAATCTCGACTTACTGGAAGGGAAGAAGCTGCCAAGAAGAAGCTTGAAGATGCTAGGCATGAACAAAGCAAGAGAATCCAAGGTCTACAAGATGCTCAGGCGATGAATCTCCGCAAAGCAGCTGCAATTGAAGCAAACGTAGAGCGTGTGCAAGAGGCCATGGACGCGGTAAATGGTCTCCTCGCTCAGGGCATGGATTGGATAGACATTGGGAAGCTCATTGAGCGAGAGAAGAAGCGACAAAACCCCGTTGCCGAAATTATCAACCTTCCTCTCAAATTGTCTGAGAACACGATTACTCTCCTTCTCGCAGAGGAAGAGTTTGACGAGGACGAGGATGAGGCAGAAGAAGCCAACCCATACGAAACCGATGAGAGCGACTCAGAGGAAGGGCAGAATGAAGCTACTTCAACGAAGGATATGAAGCCTGCCAAGCTTCTCACGGTTGACATTGTCCTCAATGTTAGCCCTTGGAGCAACGCTAGAGAGTATTATGAACAGCGAAGATCAGCTGCTATCAAAGAAGAGAAAACCCAGCAACAAGCAACCAAGGCCTTGAAGAGTACGGAACAAAAGATTGCCGAAGATCTGAAAAAGGGTCTGAAGCAAGAAAAAGCCCTTCTTCAGCCCATTCGGAGGCAATTGTGGTTTGAAAAGTTCCTGTGGTTCATCTCCTCTGATGGCTACTTAGTCCTTGGAGGGAAAGACCCCCAGCAAAGCGAAATACTCTACAGGAGATATCTGCGGAAAGGGGACATTTACTGCCATGCCGATATACGTGGCGCAGCAAATATTGTGATTAAAAACAACCCAAACACGCCAGATGCCCCAATTCCCCCAGCAACTCTGTCCCAGGCAGGATCGCTGTCAGTCTGTTCCTCGGAGGCCTGGGATTCCAAGGCGGGCATGGGCGCTTGGTGGGTCAATGCAGATCAAGTATCCAAATCGGCTTCGACAGGAGAAATAATGCCTGCTGGAAACTTCATTATCCAGGGGAAGAAGAATTATCTACCCCCTACTCAACTCCTGCTCGGTTTAGGATTCGTATTCAGAATTAGTGAACAGAGTAAAGGTTCGCATTTGAAGCACCGAATACAAGACGATCGCTCGTCAACAGCCGCAGAAGAGGCGACCGCTGGCGAAGATGGGCCAGAAGATAAGGAAGAGATTGATGATTCAGATGTCTCGGACGACGAGTTTTCTGAAAACCCTTCTAGCCGTGACAAACGAGCAAATCCTCTACAAGGCTCTGGTAATGAAGATGAAGCTATAGATGACACGGCTGACAGGCTGTCAACAGTGAATATCAGCTATCAGCCTGCAAACGATGAAGCTGCTCCCTCAATTGCAGCTGCCGCTGAGGATGGGCAAGGAGAGGGGGAAGATGAGGTAGATGCCGATGAAGAGGAGCTTGGCAGCGAGGGAGACGAGGTAGCACCTTCTGAACCTGCCACCGAAATGTCTGAGGCGCCTAGCAGAATCTCTTCACATTCAACAAAAGCTTCTGAGGCAACCAAGAAAGGAGCTCAAAAGCGTGGACAAAAAGGAAAGGCGAAAAAGATTGCCCAAAAATACAAAGATCAGGATGAGGAGGATCGCATTACAGCAGAAGCCTTGATAGGAGCTACGGCGGGCCGACAGCGGGCTGAAGCAGAGGCAGTCGCGAAAGCCCAACGGCAGGCTGAAATGGAAGCCATGAAGGAGCGCCGACGAGCTCAGCATGAGCGCAAGCAAAAGGAAGTTGCAGAACAAGAGGAGATACGCCGCGCTATGATGAACGAAGGCCTCGACGTACTGGAGCCTGACGAAGCTGAAAAAGCGACAAACTTGGATACCTTGGTCGGCACGCCGCTGGCTGGAGATGAGATTATCGAAGTCATTCCCGTCTGTGCGCCTTGGAACGCTCTGGTTCGGTTCAAGTACAAAGTCAAGATGCAGCCTGGTTCTGTGAAGAAGGGCAAAGCTGTTAAAGAGGTGCTGGACCGACTGAAGACCGATTCTGCCAGGAAGGGTGTCATTGACGAGGCTGCAAGAGATAAGGAGAAGATGTGGCCGAGAGAGATTGAGCTCATCAAGGCCCTTAAGCCAGAGGAGATTGTCAACACTATCCCGGTCAGCAAACTAAGAGTCATGTTGGCTGGCGCAAGCGGGGGGGAGAAAGGGTCTTCTGGCGGTGGCAAAGGCAAAGGAGGAGGTAAAAGCCAAGGCAAAGGAGGTAAAGGAGGCAAGGGCTCAAAGAAGTAGCTTGTGTATATTCTGAATAGAGGCTAGGACTTTACGATTGCATACAATTGTGCCAAATAAAACAAGTATATATATTTTGTATACATGGGTAATACCTACCTACTACTAGTTGATTGCAACCCCCCTTCCTTAGGATACGCAGTAGATGACATGTCGTGACATGGCATCTATAACGTTTCTCCACACTTCATTCAAATTCCATGTTATTTATTAGTTGGTGTCTTTCCAAAAACAGATAATACCAAATCAAGCCCAACATTTCTCATATACAGTAAGCGTCATCCCCCTTCTAGCCAGATGAGGTATCTATGGATATATGGATAATGCATATATATAAAAAAAAAGATTTTCACAATTTATCGAGTATTCTCCATCCTCCGTATCTCGTTGGGCATCCGCGCAATGCACAGCTCGCGGCAGAACATGCCCCATTCGCCGCTGGTGGCGCCGCGCACGGCGTCCTGCAGGTCCTGGCCGTAGCGCTCGCGATAGGCCTTCTTGACGTCCTGCATGTGGAAGGAGTCCCAGTGGAAGCGCACGAGGCGCGAGATGAGCAGTTCGCGGCGCAGAGAGTCCTTGCGGGAGGCGGTGATGGCGTGCTGCAGGAGGAGGGCGTCGCGGACGGGGCGGTTAATGACGCCGTTGAGGATGTGTGCCAGGAGTTCGCCCTAGATTTTAATTAAAAAAGCTTTTGTTAGCATTGGATTCTCTCTTTCTTTCTTTCTTTCTTTCTTCTTCCTC